TGTTTTTAAAAACAAACTTATGAGGGGATAGGATTTAATTCGAAATAAACCTGCATTATAATAAGCCTAAACAAGAATCTTAAGTGCTGAATTATGAAATGAACTTAAAAGAATGGCAATCTTAGCCAGAATTCAGCCATCACGTAAGTCCTTTGACAAAGCACAGTTTCTTTCCATTTCTTTCTTACCTCTTTCTCCTATGGCTATGTAAAGTGCAGATCACTACTATTGCACAACATTATATATATGTATAAGGAAGGATCGATGATTTTGAATGATTTGACTCAGATTAATAGGAATTCTTTCTTTCTATGGGAGTAGATCATGAAGATCAGACGTCACCTAAGGAAGAAATTGGTGGGACATTTCAAGGTATGTTTTGGCCCTCCTCTGTGATAGTATATTCCACAGGTTAATTATGCCCTGCCTGTGTGAAGCATTGCTTTATCTTTTCTAGATCTTCTTTCAATTAGCTTCATTGGATGATTTCTGAACCCAGTGATTAAGACTGTTTTTAAAAACAAACTTATGAGGGGATAGGATTTAATTCGAAATAAACCTGCATTATAATAAGCCTAAACAAGAATCTTAAGTGCTGAATTATGAAATGAACTTAAAAGAATGGCAATCTTAGCCAGAATTCAGCCATCACGTAAGTCCTTTGACAAAGCACAGTTTCTTTCCATTTCCTTCTTACCATTCTTACATAATTTCTTCTGAATTATGAAATGAACTTAAGAACTTATTTTTTCTCAATGAAAATACTTATTTCTTTTTCAGACCTTCACATGCCAATCAATGATAGTGATAATGGTAATAGCAGTAATGAGAGAAGAGACAATGGATCACAGGCTTCTTCTAATGTTTCATCTGATTATCCCTTTGAGAAAGGATACAGGATGGTTCATTTGCCAACATCAAATGTCACTATTTGTGAGAGTAAGTATTATTATTCCTCATCTCATTTCAACTGCATGTTCTTGAGGTTACAGTAATAGAATGTAAAGAGTAGAACTGTGATTTTCAGCCATCACTAATGTCTTGGTCGCTGACAGTATTCCATTATGGGTTAGTTCAGCATTTTGTTTCTCACAATAGCCAACTAAATGCCTCTGATAGCCTTGACAAGCCTATTCTGCATGAATTTCTCCATCTCCTTTAAAGCCTTCCAAGGTAGTAGCCATCACAGAGTCTTCTCCTGTGGACCCTATGATGGCTACTTCCATGCACAGTTTAATTATGCCCTGTGAAATCTGTGAAGATTTTTTCTAAATCTTTCAATCTTTCTTTCTTCATTGGATGATTCCTTTTTTCAACTATTAAGGATATTTTTGAAACAAACATATGAGAGGGTAACATTTACTTCTAACTAAACAGCACTGCACTGTAGTAAGCCCAAAGAAGAAACTTACATAGACACAGTTACTGGAGAATCAATTTTACAGTATATAGCCATGTGTATGTCTCGGCAACTATAAAATAACTTTTCCTCTCTGAATCCTGAAATACATATTTATAATTCCATTTTAAAACAATAGGCTCAGTTGAAACTTCATCATGCTTTCATGAAATCAAATATACAGGTTAATAATGAGTAATTGAATTCTCATTGTTTTCAGTGGATAACATTGTGATGTCCAGGGGCACATGAAATATGGGGATGGGGTAAGGTTTGCACTGTGTTGTGCATTGATAAAAAGAGGTCAAAGTGTTTTTCAGTTTCCTAGGTCTGGAGTAGAGATTTAAAAAAAAAATGAGTACAGTCTATTTTAGGGTTTGCATTACAAATGCCAAGGGTTACGGTTAATTCACTAATTTGAGAAATAATGAATCCCAAATTCAACATCCTTGAACCCTGGCTCAATTATTGTTATTATTTAACTCAGGTTGCCTATCTGCATAGCATTATCTGCCATCCAACAATATGTTTTATACTTTTTAAATGGACAGTTTTGCATTGTACTTACAATTTTCTGTTTCCTTTCACAGAAATGGCCTTTCACTGCCAGCAAGATTTAGGGAAGGAAAATGTCAGTTTAATTTGTGAAAATGAAAGGAAACCAGTAAGGAAACCAATATGGGTTAAATTAGTATAATTTGTAAATCAATTTGTTTATAGTGCTTGGAACACTCAATGAAGCACTGAAAGTAGCTGAAGGAAAATTTGGAGTATTGTAATTGTATTGTATTTGGTCTTTGTTATTAATTTGCTATTTGCTGTGATTTGAAATTCTGAAAGCATCTAGAAAGAATACTGTTTTTTTTTTCTGAAAGAAGCAATGAAACTGTGAATTTTTCATTTTAAGGGCAATTATTGCATTTTGTGATATAAAGGCTTATTAGATAGTTTTCCTAACTCTTCCAGGAGAGGGTAAGGACTGAAATGTGGGAGCTCGGCATGAAATTTATGTGCTATGGAAAGTGACTTGTAAAAAAGTAAATCTGTTTTTGTCATCTGTTGGGAAGTTTATTTCAAAAAGCAGAAGAAAATAATTTGTGAACTGGATTATGAAAACAAGAGAAACTGAAACTGGAGAGGAAAAAAGAGCTAATTTATTTGTGGAGTTTTCAGATTATGGGCTAAACGTGTACTAAAAATGTCAAAATCCCTTAGCTAAATTGTTTCTGGGAAACAATTGATGGATGGTAATTGTGCTGGACAAGTGAATTCAGTTAGACCTTCTCTTCACCATTGTTTTCAGTGTTGCAAGGACTGAATAGAAGGGGGAGATAGAACTCAGTAGCACTGATCTCTTTGAATTCATTCTAAGAATGGCTCAGGAATTGGCATCCTTTGGGATATACATGCCCCTGAACCCTCCTTGTGGCCATGAAGCCTCCTCAGATGGCAGCATGATTATCCACTTTAAAGAAGGGGGGGGGGGCTTCTTTGTCCACTTGCCAACTGAGCTTTGAGAAGAAGACACAATTCCTTTCTTCTCTTTTAGGAAAACGGTGTCAATTGCTCGATGATGGGGCCTGTCTTGAAGCTGTTGACATCTCTCTGTGCGAATTATACACCTACTGAAACCTACCTGAAAGTGAGATTTATTGGGAACTGGAGAGACAATAGTTCTGTTTCCTGAGAAGGAAGCCGTGTGGTTTCCTATTCTGGGCATTAATGAAAAGTGGGTGGATGACAAATTGGATATTTAAATAAGCTTCTCAAATGGTGTTTCATAATAATTTGTAGCAATGTTTCAATATTTGAAATCCATTATAAATATAAGGGAAGGAAAGGGAAAATAACTCTAAAGGAGATTTTTTTTTTCAATATATGGAGAAAATTAAATAAGGAAAAA